AATGCCAAGAGAAAAGCCACACTCCCCCCAGAACAGACAGCAAAGCATCCTCATCCCTGCCTCACTGCACTGTATTTGTCAATAAAAGACCAGCTCGATTCAAGGTACAATTGCATCTCGACTGGCTGTCACTGGCAATGCTGCTCCAGATGGCCTCAAAGCCTGACAACCATTTTCTGAACAAAATGGAAATACAGGGACTAATATTTGCTAACATAATTAATTCATTTTTTTTCCTCCACTCCCCCTTCCTCCTTTATCCATGATGTCAAGATGTATACCTTTAAATTGTTGTCAGCCATAAAACAGACGTCGTGTCCCAGTTCAGAGGTTAACATATAATGACAGACACATTAAAAAACCCTGTCCAATGCCTCACTGACAATTCCAGCTCCATCTTCTCTTCAACGAGACAGTAGCTCAAACTCACTTATAAGCTTTAACAACATTAAAGTCTAATCATGATTGAAAAATAAAGGAGAAAGAGAAGATAGTTTTTATCATACTAAGCATTATAGAAGCAGAAAACAATTAGAGACAAACATCATCTTTGTGTAGGCTTTGAGTTCACCTTCTATTTTGGTCTTAAGTCTCATGATCACAGCATGGTTCATTTTTCTTCTTGCATTTTTGGTAACCAGGTGGAAAACTATCATTTAAGAGGAAGAACGGTTGTTTCCTGTCAGAGCTTGGGTTTGGTGGGCCAACCTGTTGCTGTATCCCTGAAGACAAGACAGGGATTTATTATTTTTCACCTCTGAGCCCAAACTTTGTTTTCATCTACATAAACCAGGCTACAACGGATTTAACAATATGGCACTTTCAAGGGCCCTTCTGATGACTCAACTTCAAACTCATGTGCCAGAACTCATTAGAGATGCCAGTGAACCCACCACTGGTGATAAGCTGGGACTGAACTTGACCCAGTGGTACACAGCTATTTTATAGGCAAGGGACTCCTGGATCTGACAGAAAGGAAGGTACAGAGAAGTCCTACAGAGACATGACATCAGGCATAGCACAAATTGCAGTACAGCTTTAAAAAAAATTAATACCATAACCTGGAGTTAACAGAAGAGCTAGATCCTAGGGATGGGTTAAATGTAGGGCATCCCAGTTTTATCCAGCAGAAAATGAGAACTCTGTCTAGCTGGTTTTGCATGTCTAGATGCCTAACACACGCAGTAGCAAGAGCTGTTTGGAAAGGCATGTGGCTGTGTCACACAGTCCAACTATCATCTTCCCAATTCCTTCACATCTCACTCTGGCTTTTCTCCACACCCCAAACCTTTGAGTCATTTCACATATTTAAGAAAGAGAAAGCCATTAGGCAAAGGGGTTCTTCACATGGAAATACTTGTCTTCAATGTTACAGTGGCAAAGTGGTCAAGACTTAAGTTCTTTATCATGCATCTTGGAAACAGGAAAGTGAGACAACTTGAATGAGAGCTACACATCAGGATCTCACACCCAAGCCATCACAGTGAATGGAAGAAGTTATCTCGGGTTATATTCAGAAGCTACTGATTGTTTTCTTGGAAAGTGAGACAACTTGAATGAGAGCTACACGTCTGAGGCTACTGATTGTTTTCTCCTCTTTTCCAAGCCTGATGCAACTGGAGTCAGAGTAGCAGCTGCATCCTACTTTATGGGATGGACACAAGAAATAATCCCAACAAAATTACTACAATCAAGCCTTCAAGTATTTCTGCAGCAGTGAATACATAGTGCAGATTCCAACCTGCATAATTCACCTTCCTACAGCTTTCCTGTTCCTCCAGGTGCAGGTGTCTGCAGGGTGTGCTCCCTGGCTTCCCTGCACTGGGAGCA